TTTATACGTATGGGCGTTCATCATACGAAAAATATTGGATGCATTCATGCCGACAACAGTTTTATACATCAATTTTCATGGATATAGTATCCCCGGTTGTTGCTTTGACAATTGGTCATTTATTAGTGTGAAAGGATACCAATAGCTTGAAGAAGATAGTTTTCTCGTTCTCTGTTTTGTTCAATCCAGCGATGAGACACGGAGTTGTATATTAAACATTCTTCATAAATAACTGAAGACAAAGAAAAAGGCAAAAAAATCCCCTTTTTTGTGATAGAAAATATTGTTCTTTGAATACACCTCGTTCAATAAACGTTTCACGGATGAAATGAACGGCAAGCAGCGATTCTATGACCGAAAGGGACTATGGTTACTCTGTTTGACATACAAAATTTCGATCGTTTGGTCACCTTGTGTGAAAATGGAAAATAAATGGAGCCAATGCATACAACAGCATATCTTGCACTATAAATAAAAAATAGTTTTAATTGGAAAAGAAAATTATAAACCCCAAGTAAACAAAAACAACAATAACAACAACAAAACCAAAACAAAAGCGAAAAAATATTTAATAATAGGAAAAAAGAAAGAAAATTGCAGGCAAAAGAACATAGAGAATCGATCCATATTAAAATCTATAGAGCGAGATTAAGTGATCTACGAGTCCGTCGTTTTCCATAAGACAAATTCTATAATTGCTTTGGCTCTCACCAAGCTCTAAAACAAATTAAAAAAACGAAAATTAGGAAAACACTTTTTTCGAACCCAGAATCTGATGATTATACTGAATTCGTGATAGCTCTTAATTTGGTAGGTACTAATGCGCAAGAGTATGTGGAATCAACAGTGACTCATTTCTCAAGTGCTTGCCTCTTATCATTAATCATAAATGCTTCCTAACTGTTCCATGACACTTAGAAAGACATTCTTGGTAATTTCCAATCTGATAGCATCGCTTTACTAAACAAGAAGACGTCCCACTGTCTGCACAAATATACATCTAGCAAGTCTAAAAGTCTRTTACATTTGACTTACCTTCAGTATTAAAAAGAAAATATATAGATTATATGCTTTAAATCTTGTTCATCAACTGCACTACGAGATCTTTCAAGTAAGGTGTCTGCTGTCACCTTGTAATAAGCCGTAGGGAAATTATTGAACTTAAATTTGTCCGCTACACAAGTAATTTTCTATTCTTCATATTTTGGAAGCCATTGTTTTGAGGTTATTTGCATGGTGAGTGATCGCTACTTGAGATACACGTTTTCCTTGCTCCTTAGGCACTAAATTACTGAATTTTCAGCAATTTCGATTCTTTTGAATCTGATATCTTGTTCTTTTAGAAGCGCATATTGTTTAAATTTACATTAAACCACAACAAAACAAAAGCAAAAAGAGTTTTGCGTGCCTTGAAAAGCTACGCTCAAGGTACATTCACCCCTTCCCTCCATCTTGAAAATGACAGATCCGCCCATTATACACTTTTTACTTGGGCGACATTGTCTTTCACAATAAGAAGTGTAACTTTTGAGAGAGTAAGCTAGTAGTCTTTTAGCATTATAAATATCGTATTGAATTGTTGATTAGACATTACTTTGGTGAGAAATGATCGATGGGAGTGTCGATTTAAGCATTATGTTATAGTAACACCAGAAAACACTTACTAGCAAATTAAGGCACCATTCATGACCCCAGCAAAGCGCGTTTGCTCAAACTAAAGAACTTCATATTATAGAAATAAAGAGAATTGTTTACTTTTAAGAAAAGGCAGCTTACTTTGCAAATATTTTCCAGTTTTGTTTTTGGTTCTTTCTCTTGTTTTGGTTTGGGTTGCCTCTCTCTATATCTCTAACATGGTCAATTYAGTGGCTCMCTYYCTTGATTAAAATTTATATGAAGCTTATAAGTGCATATTATATTTCAATGCTGCAATGGGTTTTTCCTCTGGCGATTCAAGATCAGGGAGGAAAGGAAGTTTTTTAATAAGAGTAGTATAGGGGGGTCCTAATCGACCACCACGACCCTTTTTCGCCAATAAAATCACGAACGTCACGAACGGAAATCTAGAGAAACCACGTACGACGATAAACAATTAGTAAGTTAAGTAATGACACTGTGTAATCTTAAGAATCATAGCCCCTATTGCGACCGAAAGAAACGAAATCGTGCTTTGCGAGRCCGCTGAAATCCCATTTCAAGAACGTATAGTCAATACTACGGATACAAAAAAARATGTATAAAACATCGAATACTATCAGAGCTGCTATCTCAGGTCTATAAATATTGATGTTAAAGTACTTTTGGTCTTTAGCTTTCTCAATTTAACTTCATTTCTCACAACTTCATGACAGTAATCGCATTTTAAGGGGATGGACATTTTCAGTCACATTGTGAAATGTCTTTTGCATTTGTCGCTTTTTAAAGACAGGATATGTCTTCCTTTTTACATGTCAAATTGAATTTTATGTTTCCTGATTCTTTAATATTCATATTATGATCTGCATAAATGTAAAAATCATCCTAAAAGTTGTCGAAATATTACTTTGACGCATTGTTATGTTATCTCTATATCTTCAGTCATGAGTTATGTCATTTCTATGTGTACGAAACTCTCTTCCAGTTTCGCTATCTTCAGTAATAAAAAATTAATGTTATATAGTGTAGAGTTTTAAGGCGTTTTTGAAGTGCTAAATAAAGTGCTCAAATATAAAAGCTTTTTGAAAGAGCTGTTCATATATATGAGATAGATGTACGAGATTGCAAATTACTTAATAGGGAACTCCAGCGCTAACCTGTAAAGACACTTGCTGTAACCGCAATATAGATAGACTTTAACTTCAAATTTTCGACACTACAAATCAATTCTTGGAGAATTTATAGTTTAGTTTTACGAATCGTTTAACATTTTAAACAGTGATTTTCGTGACTTAAGAATTGTTGYAACATCTTCATGACATAAAAAAATATTCCTAAATCCTCAGATTACCAAACAAATTCAAAGAATCAAAAGTATTACTTCTTGGTGTGTCCAAAAATTACCTATTTTAAGAATTATTATAATTRCAATAATTACAAATCTAGATGTCAATGTGTCGTGGTTAGCATAACCGTTACCTGATTCCGCCATAACAGTTTTYGAAGTATTTCCAGAGACCGGTAGAAAATTCTTTTTCCCGTCGGGAGTAAGATAGACTTGAATGTTACAACAAGCGTGTTATTTAAACTCAGTAGCTTAGTAATTATTAATAATGTTCCATAATTGAAAATTAATCTGAAGACATGAGTATCATTCATAAAGGAGCTGTAAGAGTAATCGCTCGCTCCTTGGAACAGGTGGCTTTTTACAATCTCGAGATAAAAATCATCAACTGACTCAACTCATGCATTTCTAAGTCAGAACAATGTCTCGTATTCTAAGCTATATATATTAATATACAAGAGTATTTCCTTAAGAACTCGTGATCTTAACGGTGTTTTTAAGCACTCAAAAACGGTCTTAATTTGAGTAGCGAAAGGCTCGTTTATATTAAAAGTAACAGCAGACGTTGTTGGATGCCACTTGAGCTTTTGCCTCAAGGCTTGTGTTATCTTTTTAAATGATGCAACTTCAAAGAAACTGATCTATTTTGAAAGACATCCTATCAAAATGCTAAAGCTTGCCTCTCCTAGYGCGGCTATCATACAGGAACAACTCAGTAGTATTTGAAGCCGCTATATATTCTTTTAAAGTTTAGTTTTCAAGTGGTTTTATGTAGCACGTTGTTGTAATGAGAGAGCGGAATACTTATGAAGTGGCTCGATTCACTCAGCATGCTATAATCAAACACTAATCAACAACAAATCAATACACGTTACTAGTTTGTAACAATGTTAAATAGAGCTAGAGGATCAGCASGTCTTTTGATAGTCAACATAATTACACCTAATTGCAATAATGTTGTCACAGGAATAGATCAATTGAACTTTATAGCAAGGAATACATAAGGAGAAAAGGCCAAACGCTCTTTCGATTTTTTAGTGCATTCCTATTTCACTTGACTACAAATTTTCTATTTACCTCTGACAGATTTATTGCAATTAGTTGTAAATAGTTAAATAAAATAAAAAAAGACAAAAATCAAATGCTATTTATAAAAAGCAATTATTTTGTAGATCGGAACATTCAAAAACAATAAACGAAAAAAAATGTCAAAATTGAACGCAACAATCCACAAGAAATTTATTTTTGATAATGACCAAAAGGCGTGATATCGTTTATGTTGTATGCCGCCARATAGATAATTAAAATAAGCCGCTTTCTAAATATATCTGGACAATGATAAGTAAATATGCACAATGACTGATCTTTGAGTAAAATACTCCCGATCAACATTGTTGCCGTTCAAGTTTAGCTTCAGTGTTTCTCACGTTGTGTATTGCGGCAAGTTGCCAGTGAAACTGTAAACGGCCCGTAAAACGGAGAAACACCGACTCGAAACTAGCACGAACTGCAACATTATTCTGTGACAAGTTAAAGCTTTTGGTATCTCATATTTCTTGGCCTTGTAATTTTTTTAAAAAAGTAATTAAAATTACTTCAAAGCAGAAATATTGAATTGAAACACTTTATGAGTTCCAAGATTCAAAGTAAAACGAATTCTTCAGAACTGAACCCGGCTGTCAATAAACGTAAAAGTACTCTACCTTAAGATAATAATAATAGTTAATAATAGTTTCCTAAACATTTCTTCATGCCATGCCAAAAATATTGTGTARCTCATTAAATGTATTATGGACTACCACCGTCGCATGCTGAAAGATATAGCCAATTTCTCAAAGCTATCAATKTTAAACTTTTTTTCTGAAAATTGRTCCGGAGTTACATTGATAGCATATCAATTTTTCATTGCTTTTATTACCAATATACCCCACATTGCCTTGTTTATTTCTGTTTGTTCTGCAGAAAAATGCAACGCACAGTCGTAAATGAACAGTTCTAAATTAAAGAACTCAYATTCAGGCACACACAAATAAATTCACTTGAGGTTATTCCAATTTGCAGCCATAGGTGTTAATTCCACATAGCAGGTACATCAAATTTGAGTCGCTTTTGTTTCAAAAACTTAAAGCTAYGGGAGAGTTCTCAAACACTTGAGAATACTTAATAAGAGTTCAATTAATCACAACATGTTTKCTTGTTTTGTTGTAAGTAAAATTACAGCTACATGCAGCTGCTTAAACTAGATATTTTGGAAATTAAGTAAGGAAACTGTGATGCTGAAATTATCTTGAACTGCTCCTGGTTTTTAAAGAGTGCAAACACTAAAACCACAAAAAAACTTTTACTGTTCAAATACTAGTGCTAAGTTGTGATGAATTACACAAATTCCTATGTGTTCTATTTTCTATTCCCTCAGTTAGTACTTTTTCACTTTTTTAGTGTTTGTACTCTAAGAGGAATTTTTTAGTTATCATTCTTTAATTGTTTGTTTGCCTTCACTTTGCTTCTATTTAATGTCATGCTTGCGCCTGCGTTTATGTCATATCTTATACATACTGGGAAGCAAGGGTGGCCGAGCGGTGAGAGCGCTGGCCTGTCACCTCTGTGGACCCTGTTCGAATATCGGTCGGGCACCATATGTGATTTTAGTTTCTTTCGKTCTTTCCCTTGCTTCGAGGGGTTTTCCTTGTCTTTTCGGGTGTTTCCTCTCTCAGTAAAAACGAACCATTTCTATCTGCTATGCTCAGCGTTCAGTCGACGTTGCTATGTAAAAGAAGCGCCTACTCGGCAGCACGCCTATGTGTAAGTGTATGTAAAATGTGTCTGTTATATAGCACTTGAGAGCTCATTGAGCAGCATCTTTCGCAATTCAGCAACCGTGCTATCATGAAGGACGATTAGCACCCAACACCTTTTACCTTTTCACATACATACATTCATTGGGCAGTACAAAAATTGGACTTTTCAGGACAATTCGAAAATCATTATGGTATATGATTGACGAAAGAAAAYCAAAGTATCTGTACTACAACAACCATTGTGAGGGCTTTGCTGGAAAGTTTAAAGCAAAACGCAAACGCTTTAAACATTTTCTGTAATATTTCTTAAATTTTGTTAAACGATAGAGTGCGCACTGAAACACAGTGAAAAATAATAACCAAATAGTGCTAAATAACGCAGTATAGTGCAATATAGTGTAGATCAGACAATAGAAAACAAAGGAATTCACAAAATTCAGCTCTAATTTTTCACTCTAGATTCATGGAGTCATTTCATCCGTCTGTGAAATAGGAATTGTACTATTAAATACTATTACCCCCTATTAGCTCCCAATAGTTTAACTTATGACATGTGACAAACTAATTAGGCAAACACGGTTTTGATTTTGCCTTTTGGTAGCCTAA